CGGAGCCGGCGCGCGGCTATTAGGCGCCGCGGGGAGGAGATGCCGCGGGGCCGGCGGCTTCCTCCTCTGCCCTCTGCTGGCTGCGGCTCGCCCCGGGTTTGGGCTCATTGAAAACGCCGAGGGAGGGAGGGAGAGAGAGAGAGAGAGAGAGCTCCCCGTGTCGCCTCCCGTCTCGGCCTTGCCCCGGAGGGGGCATCGCTTGCTGCACCTGTTGCTTGACTCCGGGCTCGACCCGTCTCTCTCGCAGGCGGCGCGCTGCAAATCCAGTGCTACCAGTGCGAGGAATTCCAGCTCAACAACGACTGCTCCGCGCCCGAGTTCATCGTCAACTGCACCGTGAATGTCCAGGACATGTGTCAGAAAGAAATCATGGAGAAAAGTTCAGGTGAGCCCTGAAATCGCTTCCTTCCCCCCTCGCCAGCCCCGTTTGCTCCCTCGGCTTCTGCTGCCCTGCCGCGCCGGGCATTTATTTTTTCCAGTTGTCAAAGGGGCCGTGACTTCCAAGCCAAACTTAAATATTTCTGAGCTGCTTTACAACCCAATAAGGTTAATCGCCTTCCTTTTCAAGTGGGAAATAGTGAAATTTCCAAGCCAAATGTTAATACAGCTGTTAAAATGGTCTTATGGGCCTCCCATTTCATTTTTACAGCAGTGGGAAATTAATAACAAGTCAATTTAATCTCATTACAGTTAATTACATGGGCCTCCCCCCCCCAAGAGATGGGAGGAAAGAGCATTAAATTAATAATTCCCTCCTTTCTTTATTTACTCTAGCATTTCTCATATGGTAAAGGTCGATCTTAAGCAAGGAGAGGCAGAGATAGCTGGGTTTCACCCATAAACCAGCGGGCAGGTGGAAATAGATGAGGGATCTATAAACTGTTTCTGGAGTTCGGGAGGTCATTGCTGATGGGATGCATGGAGCAGGTGTAGTCTCGCTCAGCAATCTTCAGGGGCTTTTGCCCCATGCAGAGTATTTTTAGCACACACGACACCGAGATAAAAATGCTTTCAAGAGGGAGGAAGCTGCCTGGTAGTTAGTGCTCCTACCCCTCTGCACAGTAATCATTGTGCTGTGCTGTGCATTGGTCTTTTACACATCAAACACTGCACAACATTTCAAGGAGGACTGTTTGTGTTTTAAACGTCAGGTCCTGCCTGCCTTCTCAAATTCGGGAGCATGCAGCAGCTTTATCAGAGACTGCTGGGGCAGGTATAGTAGGTAGAGGAAGAGTGCTTAACCGTTGTTATTTCATATCGCTTCCTGACCTTATCACAGCTGACAGTTGTGATCTTTGGAGAACTGGAAGGATGGAGGGCAGCCGTGGCTCCCTGAAGTTCTCTGAATTAGGTATTACCTCTGTACACCCAGGTGGGGGATGGGTTGAGAAACCCATCTCCAAAAGGCAGAAGCACACAGCACTGGGTGCAGGTTACACAGTACCACCTCTGGGGAACAAAACACTGGTTTGGGCCCTGTGGGGAATTTATATTGAAGATCAATTTATACTGAGCTAATCAAATGAGAATGGTATGTTGGGAGTGTTTTGGCACTCGTGTCCATAAAGCTGCAGTTTGTCTCCTTCCAATAACAGGGGCTCCATCTATTAATGGGAAATGTAAATGCAGCCGAAGTTCCTGAAATCTAGAATAGTTGTTTTGCATAAGCAGTGTTTTGTAATGAATAAAATTTACAGCTTTAAATGATATTTCCAATATACTTATCAGCAACTTCAGGTCATACTGCTAGTCACAGATAACACCCTGGGGGCGGGGAAAAAAAAAATCACTGCAAAGAAATGCAATCACCCCTTCAATACACAGTGGTGGTGTCGTAGGCATTTGCCCTCATTGCAGGTAATGCACAGAGCAGTACCTTTCATCTGCTTTATGAAGGAGGAATGCAGAAAAAGGGAGTGCAATGTAAAGGAAGATTAGGACCTGTCAGTAAGAGAACTGAGTTTTAAAAATGTGAACATAAAATATTTCCCTCAAACTATATTGCTGGAGCATTTTATTTCGAGATGTGTTTGTGTAGAGAGGATAGCGGAGGTTTGAGATGGTTACAGCTTGTGAGGTTCTTTAAACCTAGGAGCAAGTAGACAAGTGTCTGAAATGCAGGCTTTGCCACATGCACACCTAAATTGTCTGCATCTTTTTAATAGCTTTGAATGAATGATGTGGAGGAGTCTGAAGTGCTATCAAAATCCCGGATAGACAGATGCAGTTACCACTCCATAAAAGTGTCACCTGTCCTCATTTAACTCTTAGCACTTTCATTCCCTTGCACAAGATTTTCATTTGAGTTTAGAATTTTAAGCTGCGTCTCCCTCCCAAGATCCAGATCTGTAATCATCTCTTCACTTTGCAGCCAGACCTCTTTTAATCTAGGAACGGTTTACTTAAAATATTAATCTCACTCCAAAAGATTTAAGGGGCATTCGCTCATATGACGCACGTACCGCTGGTTTGCTCAGGCTTCAAAAAAAAAAAAGTAAGATTAATCAGTTTGCAAACTTAATTGTTAAACTAGCATGGCAGTACTAAACTGAGAATGAGAACCATTCTAATTGGATCTTACAAAAATTAAGGGTGTATAAACTTGTCTTCTTCACTACGAAGAAATTGATTTGCCAGGGATTAATGAAAGGCGGGGAAATGGTAATGACATTTTCTTTGTTTTTTCAACCTCTGTAATATTACATTAGTGATAACAACAACAAAAAATCTCTGGATGCTATTTGAATTTCCTTTTTAAAAGGAACTCTCCTGCAGTGTATAGCACACTAAAATCCATCTTTCATGGTTTAATTTTATAAATGCAGCTCTTGTTCATTTGAAGTTAGGCAGTTATAGACTCCTTTTAGCAGGTAAATCTTAATTTATATATTCCAAGTGGAGTGAAATTTGCATTATAAACTTACCTTCTCCTCTGTTCGCCTCAGTCGGTTCTGGAGGGGGTTGGTATTAAAACTAGAGGGAACTGCCACCATAAAGGCCTCAATTCATTTATTATTTTTTCTTCTAATATTTAAATGAATGCAATATAAAATGCCTTATTCTCACAATTATTATTTGACAATTCAACCTCCTTTAACTGTACATTTTATAACTCAGTTTCTTTTGCTCCTGCTTATCACTGAAAGCTGAAAAGTGTTCCAAATATTGATTTTCATTTATAATGGACCTGGAGTCTGAATTTTTAACCCAGTATATAAAGAATGTGAATTTTCAATTACTTGACAGCAAAATCTTGTAATTAGAGTTTTTCCTCTTGACTAGATGCAGTCAAAGAAGTATTAATTTAATTTTTATAGACTAACCAATTTGTGCCCTTCGAAAAATATAACTCTGTCAGTGAGCAAAATGTTACAGGTTCTCCTGAACCTTATTTAAAAGTTAAATGCAGTATATTAAGATAAAGTTCATGGTCTGAGTCAGTAACCTAATTGATCCAGTCACCCATCCTTGGCAACACACATTAATCTATTTGTCTGTTTTGTAATAAAAGGGGGTCACTGATTTACATGCTGTGGTGTGTCTGTGTTATAGTCACTGGCATGTAGGCAGTTGCTACTTTCTTACATTAAAGTTAAGCAATGACCGCTCCAAATATGGCTTAATATTATACCTGTACCAACTTCTCACAGCTAAGACTGCAGCTCTTAAGAATCTTTTTCATTTACATTGTAAAATACTTCTTTAAGCCTTGCTGTAGCCTAGGCAAGCCACTCCACAGATTAAGGTAAAATTAGGTTTAAACTTTTTCAGAACTCGCTATACTTACTCAGGGAAATCTCCTGAATTTTAGTATAAAGGCAGTCTGACAGCGTATATCGTTTTGGACAAGAAATTCTAAAAGTATTACAAAAAAGTACCATGCCTTTAAAAAGGTTTTGCTTTTTTTTATAAGACCCCAAGTTAAAAAGCAACAGTTCTGAACACGGATTGTCAAAATTAATGATGAATCTAAAATTTTCAGGCACATTTATATTTAAATCAGATCAGCCTAAGTATTACCAACCAGATGTTTCCAGTGGTGCTATCTACTACCTAGTTTAAAAAAAAAAGTCAGAGTCAGGAAGTATGAAGCTGTTACGCAGGTGACTACTGAGCTAGTATAAACCCCACTGCCCTCCCTACCTGCACTTTGTTTTATATCCATCCATGTTGTGATAACACTTAAGGGGCCTATCCAGAATGTACAGAACTAGAGGTTTCATGAAATAAAAGAACTAGTATATATTCTTTTACTCAAGTTTTAGTGGAGTTATTTATTAAGTTTGATAGACTAGGGTTTGTCAGTTGTTTACATTACTCCGTTCCAGTGGGAGATGCAAAAGGACAGTGCTTCACCATGGGCAAGACATCCAAAGAATTAATTTGTTAATGTACTCTTTAAGAAGCATCAGTAGCTTTTGCTGTTCATAGCACTGGAGGTGGCAGAGAGACCATATTGGGTCACTTTTGGTCCCATAGCAACTAACTTAAGGGATACCTTTTTAAGGTTAGCTTTTCAGCTGAAACAGCAGCTGGTTTCTGAAGACAGATCATATAGATGAACTAGTTGGCAAATGAATTCATTTCCCATCATATTTATTCCACTTGCAAATATTTCATGGAAACATCGGTAATGGATTTTTTTTCCTAATATGGAGTTTGAACACTAAAACATCAAAGATGCTGTTTTTCAAAGTGAAAACAGAAACTAAATGCACCACTTGTTGAGACTGAATGAAACCTTTTAGCTATTCATTCATTTATTCTATATAAATGAAGCTGATATTAAAAAAAACCCCAGTCTTTCTTTTATTGAAGATGAGCTAACCACGTAAGGGTTGATCCAAGATCCAATGTCAAAAGGAGTCTTCAGAGCCATGAATTTTGATAGGCTTTGAAATCAGACCCATAGAGCTGGTTAAGAAAAGGTCACCTTTTGTAAATCTCCAAATGTAGAAATCGTACACCCAACATGAAGGTGTACATTTTATAAAGAAATGATTTTTTAAAAATAGATTAAACTTGCAATACCAGAGTGTAAAGAACCAAGTATAGTTGGGGGGGGGGGGAAATCAAAGGGAAGATGGGGAAATTGAAAAATTATGACACCAATCTCAATATTCAGTTGCTATAAATATACCAGGCTGTTTAATTTTTAAAACAAAAGACTCTGTGCTCTTGCTACCTTTCCATTAGGTAGCTGTGAACCTACTTCACACCATTTATATTATACCATTCCCCCAGCATTTTCATTAAAAATGCCATTTGGAACCGACAAGAGTGGCTCTGCAATAGGCATTTTAAAAAAAGTGATATCTATAGAAGTTAAGGTTGCAGTTTCTTTTGTAAAGGCAGTCGCACGCAACTTCGTTAATTCTATTAATC